AGCTCCTCGAGAAGGGTTGGATTAGGCCCAGTTCGTCTCCTTTCGGAGCACCTGTCCTCTTTGTTCCTAAGAAAGAGGGAGAGCTGAGAATGTGCATAGACTATAGGGGTCTGAATGCTATTACATTGAAAAATGTTGAGCCACTGCCGAGGATAGACAATCTCTTAGACCGAGTGCAGGGGGCCAAGTATTTCTCTAAGATAGATTTAAAGTCCGGATATCATCAGATAGAGGTACATCCTGATGATCAGTATAAGACAGCCTTCCGGACTAGATACGGGCATTACGAGTTTATAGTGATGCCCTTTGGACTAACCAATGCGCCAGCTACGTTCCAGCGTTGTATGAACGATTTGTTTAGGCCGTGGTTAGACAAATTTGTTGTAGTTTACCTAGATGACATCTTAGTGTTTAGCCGGACCCTTGAAGAGCATCAGGGTCATCTCAGGCAGATCTTGGAGAAGTTGAGGGAAGCTAACTTCAAGATCAATGCAAAGAAGTGCGATTGGGCGAAGACCCAAGTTTTGTATTTAGGCCACGTCTTAAACGGAGACGGCGTTAAGCCAGAAGATAGCAAGATCGCAGCGATTAGAGATTGGCCCACGCCACGTACGCTGACAGAGTTGCGCTCGTTCCTGGGCTTAGCTAATTACTATAGGAAGTTCGTGAGGAACTTCTCCACCATCGCTGCGCCCCTTCGCAAATTGCTGAGAAAGGAGACAATCTGGAAGTGGGACAAGGACTGCACGTCTGCCATGAAGAAGCTAAAGCAGGCATTGATAGATTATCCAGTCCTTAAAGTCGCCGATCCATCCTTGCCTTTTGTCGTCACGACCGATGCCAGTCAATACGGCATAGGCGCGGTGTTACAGCAAGACAATGGTAATGGGTATAGACTCGTAGAGTTCATGTCCGCCAGGATGCCTTGAGAGAAGGTCGCGACATCTACTTATGAGAGGGAACTCTACGCTCTCAAGCAAGCATTAGACCACTGGAAGCATTACTTGCTTGGGAGGCACTTCAAAGTCTATTCTGACCATGAAACGTTACGATGGTTAAAGACGCAGGCCAAGATGACACCTAAGCTTACTAGGTGGGCCGCAGAGATAGATCAGTACGACTTTGAGCTCAAGCCTGTCACGCTCTGAGTAGAAGAGCTGATTACTTCGGGGCAAAAGTGCACTACCTCGATATAGGGAAGGATCTGCAGCAGATGGTTAGAGAAGCCTACGCACAGGACCCTATCTATAGTGAGCTCCTTAAGAAAGTCAAGGAAGCCCCGGAGACTGAGCCGAATTACCGCACTACTGAAGGGTTGTTTTTTTAGAAGACTAATGTGTTTGACCGCCTATGCATCCCCAATAGCGAAGAGATCCGTAGTCTGATTTTGGGCGAATGCCATGACACAGAGGGTCATTTTGGTTGGCAAAAGACTTTAGCCAATCTAACGCGAGCGTATACCTGGCCAGGGATGAAGAATGATTGCGTAGAGTATGTTCGCAGTTGTAAGGTTTGCCAGCGTAACAAGAGTTCTACGTGCGCCCCGCTAGGTCTTCTCAGACCCTTGCCCATTCCGGACCTGCCGGGGGACCCAGTGTCCATCGACTTCATGGACACTCAAGTCAAGAGCAGGCATGGCAAGATCCAAGTCATGGTCATAGTTGACCGATTTAGTAAATACGCAGTTTTTGTTCCTTTGCCTTCAGAGGCACGCACTGATTTAGTCATACAGAGATTCTTTGACTGTTGGGTTAGTGAGAATGGAATCCCGCTGTCAATAGTTAGCGATAGAGATAGTCGCTTCACCAGCCAGAACTGGCAAGAACTCATGGGAGTATATGGATCTAAGTTGTTGATGTCGTCCGGCCGTCATCCCGAGACTAACGGTCAGACGGAGCAAATGAACAAGATCCTACAGCAAGTTCTGCGCATGTATATTAGGCCGGATCAGATTAACTGGGATGAGATGTTGCCCAAAGTAGCTAGTGCGTACAATAACAGCGTGCATTTGTCTACATGCCACACTCCCAACGAACTGCACAAGTCCTTTCGACCGCGCAGACCGTTTGAGGGACTCAACCGGGATCAGATTCACAGATTGCCGCCCGGGACCAGGGAGTTTGCTGTACAGCACGAGAAAGAACTAGCTACTGTCGTAGAAAACCTCAGGAAGGCCCAGCATAGGATGATAGAGCAAGCAAACAAACATCGTCGCCCTTCACAATTTCAAGTAGGCGACTTAGTCTGGGTTAGTTCTAAAGAGTTTGCACCTGAGGAGAACATCTCGCAGAAGTTACTGCCCACATATAGAGGACTGTGGCCTGTTCTGGAAGTCAAGGGCGGCGAAGATGGACCGTCCTACACCATCGAGTTACCAGCACACCTCCACACTTACCCAGTTTTCCACGCATCGAAGTTACTACCTTGTCAAACAAGTGATCAGTTTCCATCCCGTAGGTCGATGATCCCACCGGATATGGATGGAAGATATGACATAGATGGTATAGTGGCTGAAGATGTCTTCAGAACTGGAGGTAGAGGTCGTCCGCAGAAACAGTATAAGGTTCATTTTAGTTATCAGGAACCAGAAGACGACCGCTGGTTTACAAGGTCTGAACTTTTAGAGACAGCTCCCGATATAGTCCGAGCCTACGAGAGACAGCAAAAGGGCAAAGGTCCTGCCTTGGACTGAAATTTTCTCGGAGGACCTCGAATTTAGGCCGGCGGGAGTGAGACGGTATTCACCAGTTCGCGGTAGCGAATGCAGATCCCAGGGCTCGATCCCTAGATCCCCGTCTTACCTGTGTACAGTATCAGTGTCAACCCGTAGACTTGAACCTGCGACCTGTAGGAACCCCAGTGGTAGGCAATTTGTCGTAGGTCACAGGGTAGGAGGGAATCGAACTGTAGACCTATAGAGTAGGAGTCTAGACAGTTCCGAAGTCGTAGCTGTAGGCTGCCTGAGGAGTCAAGATTGTAGCTGCTACTTACCTGAAAAGGGCAAAGTCGTAGCTGCTACAGTACCGAAAGGCCAAGTTAGACACTTCTAGAAGTGGCCTTTCGGAGTTGGCCTTCATTCAACAGAGGCAAGTGGTCAAGTGGTGGTAGACCACTTTGCTGAGTCAATAGTCCCAGTTAGTCAGTCCGGTCCTGTCCAGCAAGTACCGTCTGGGACTGTGTGCACATCGTGGGCCAAGGGGTATGGGGCAGACCAACGCAGCRCAGAAGTATAAATCAAGAGGCTGCGTCCAACCATTCATTCATTCCTGGGGATGCCATGCGGAAGCGCTGCCTCAGCAGCTTGTGCGAGGAGGTCTGCAGTGTGCCCGARGACGAAGTGGGCAGAGAAGTGTAGTGTAGCRATAGGGTAGTGGCAGCTAGCGCTGCCATAGCCATAGCCTAGTGTGTGTGTGTTGTGTATGAACACTGAGTGTTGCRTGTGGGACATCCAGGGTGAWCTCGAGTGTGAACAGTGAGTTGTATGGGCGCACAGTCGCCATAGCCAGTTGGAAGAGAACTCATATCTGGTTACGATATCTTTGAGTACTGTGTGGGCGCATGTCGCCAGTTTGCTGTATCGCTGTTTGCAAGCATGATGAAGTGTGAATAAGTCGACTATGATTGCAATATGTTCTGAAGTGTTTTTAACTTTTTGTCCAGTAGAATTGTCTTTCCTGATTTGCAGGTGGTTTAACTCCTTGGCAAGAAAAACGGTGTGGGTCATGCTAGCCACATTTCACTTAAAAAGCAGAAAGGACTGTCTCTACATGTCCATTGTGTAGTGGCGACAAGAGCAAGAAAATGAGAACTCCTGCGCAGGATGACAAGCACAAATTGACAAATGGGTCATACGGCCCAAACTATAATTTTCTAACAAAGGCGAGTTGAGCAGGTGAGCATAGTCATGAACTCACTGTAGCCAAACATAGTTCCTCGCTCGCAGACCATCACGTTTGGGTTCCCAGCTAGCCGGACTTTGTCTGCGGAATTGCACATAACCTGCAAATGCACAAGGTGTCCTATCATAATCAACTTAACAGCAGGCAGCTATCATAAGACCTCTTTTGGCCACACAGCCAACGAGACTGACAGACCTTTCCTGGTGGCAGCGCACCATGAACCACGTTCCACCTTCTCAGAGAGGAAAATAAAAAACATGCATGTTGTCAATGGAACCACGGCTTTTGTCAGCAGCAAAGGTAGCAACGTACATCCATACGGTTCATGTTTTGGGTGCGCCAGAAACCCTCCTTTTCTGCCTTGCCTTTACGCATTCACCATGTGCCGTTCGTTCACTGGGAGTGCAAGATATACTATCAGCCATTGTATGCTCCTGGCCTGCCCCAGCCTGATGGATGTCAGTTGCGACCATGGGAAATCTGCAGTTTGTCCAGTTTCAACCTGTGTGCGTTGCCCATCTCTGTCCCAGCATAACCTCCACTTGGTGTGATCTCGTCCTCAATCTGTGGCCCAGCTTGTGTGCTGTATTCTAGAGCATTCTGTCTCAGGGTGTCTCTGGTGTACTTTCCCCTCAGATTCCATGCCCATTCTGCTGGGTCCACTTCCAGTTCCTGCGTCTGTAGGGCAATATACAGTGTACTTGTCATTCTCCATCTCTCCTACCTTCCTCACCAAGTCTGCCCTGCCCTTGTACTCACCTGGCCTTCAGATACTCTGGGTACGCTGCTCGTTGTTGTCCCCGGGCTCTCGATATGAAACATATCAGTTAAGAGCAAGGCATTTCTTGGTCCCTCCTTCCCCTGAACTCCAAACTCCCCTCTCTGATGTGCTGTCCCTCTTCAAGAGATCGGTCCACAGATTCAAGTGAACATATCATTTAGGTTTTGTGACAGCCTATTACTGTTTTCCTTCCGTCTTCCATCTCTTGTGCTACCCCGAGAAGAGGTTTCGATTTAGCCATACCCCGTGTTGCAACCACGTGTCCCACTTTGAGTCCTGTGTGAGCAGGGTCCTGGGTTTACCTCCCTGGTCCACCACCCACTGGCTGCCTCAGCACTTTTCCCCAGTGGATGGCATTCTGATCTTGGCTGGGAACACCTCTCTCCACAGGCGCAGTACATGAATTCATTAGTGTCCTTCATATCCTGGTTCCCTTCCTGTTCCCCGCCTTCGTCTGGCATCCTCGCTCTTTTCCTTCTGTGTTTTTGTTTCTTGATAGTGCCTAATGTTGAAGGCAGACTTTCCGCAAGAGGGCACCTTCTGTGTTTTTGTTCCCTGATAGTGCCTAATGATTATTGAAAAGCCAGTAAAGTGTTATGATTCTGGTTGCCCGTTGTCTGAAGACCAACACTCACTCACATAGACTTCCAGGTATGCCCATACATACACAAAAGGGACGGGAGAGGATAGGAATATCACACCGCATAGGGAGAGAGAAACACAACGGAAGACTTGACCATGCGATATGACAGGGTACACTGAAAGTGAAATTCACTCCACTTAATCCTCACAACCAGTCATAAAGAAAAGCCGAGTAGATCACATCCAGAAAACAATGAAACGATGATAGTCCAAACCCAGTATCACACTGTTTATTAAACTCAGAGTCTCGAATTGTCAGGATAAGCTCAGAACTACAGTGCGTTGCTCCGAAGTGAGCAGCGCTTCACTCCCCAGCCCTGAGTAACCACTTGTAACACCCCCGAGCCCCTGAAACATCAAGCGCCACCTAAGTACTGCCTCCAGAGGACAGCGCCACCCTGAAACAGGCCTCTGAGGCCAAGCGCCACTCAGAGGGTGAAGAAGAAGACCAGCACCACAGTATCTGATGATGACGAAGTGTCGAAAGACTTCCCGGGTGGAAGTCTGCAGTAGCGCCACCACTCCTGACAAGATGACCTCTGAGGAAGAAGCTGCGGCTATGGCTGCAGCGCCACAACCCTGTGACCCCACTCCAGAGGAGGGTCCAGCAGGGCACCAGCTTCTCTTGCCTCCAGCAGACCTCGAATAACCCAGACCTCTGACAGCCCCGCGTGCTGACAGAGTACAGTGCAGGTCCCAGCTATGGCCGGCGCTCCGAAGGTCTGGCTATGTCTGTCTCCCACAACGCTGAGCCGTCACCACTTGTGGTTCACGCGTAGCGCAACAGCGATGTACTCGGTACCAACTGCCAAAAGCCCTGAACCCATGTGCCCATCCTAT